ATTTTGTGGGGATCTCCTTCTGGGTATGTTTGTGAAATTTTGTGAGGTGGCAAGGAATAGCAAGTGCAAGTTGTTCAGCGTACTTCGATAACTTCGATATATAAGAATTTTGGTGGCTTTGGTGGCGAGTACAGCCAGCCGGAATGCACACTGTAGATTGCTGCAGTCTGTTTGCAACTGGTGGCCTTTTCCTTCCAGGATGAAGGCCGGCTGCTTCAACGTTAGCCTGCTGTTTGCCCCGTGGTAGCCCAGATGGAATGTTCAAACAGCTTGGCTTACAATAGATGGCACTGAGTGCAGTTCGGTTGTAGTCATATGCCAGTGCCATCAACTTGCCCAAAAGAAACACCTAATCTTTGGGCATGTGTCAAGAGGTCGCTAGCCCAGCCCTGGTGTGAACATGTTTTTCTCCAGGTGGCTGTGAGGAATGTCTCTGTGCAACACACAACACAGGGTGCAACTGGTAAAGTATGAGCTTTCCGAGGCGGCGTTCCCAGCATTTGCAGCAGCACTCCCATCTTCTTTCTTGCCATGGCTTCTTTGGCTTCACGTGAAGTGCTTACAGGCTGATTGTATTGGCTCGGTATAAAGATAAGATGAATGAACGTAGCTCCTGGAAGATTCCCATTAGGTGGGCCAACGCGATGTTTCTGTACCACCCTTCAGCATTCGTATCCACGATATGCGTTAAAGATCTTCAAGCCGTACTTACTCGCCTCAAAACGTGGCACGCGAGAAGGGGGTGGGCCCAAAAAATATCAAAAGATGATGTCTACAACAGGTTGGTGGAGTTCCGTGTTTATTCTAGAGGTTGATTCCCCATTCTTTTCAACCATCGTTCTTTTCAAAAACCAGCCGTTTTCTCGGGATTCCGGAGGTTTTCAAGAAAGATCAGGTACCCCTAGATTCATCTGAATATTTTTCAATGCCCATTGCCTTCGCACTTCCAGTGCCATCACTTCCCAGGCTCTCATGGGTGCCACCGCACAAGCCTCAGGAGCTGTGAGTTGGGGTTAAAGCCGGTTGGTTGCCGGAAGCCCTGCGGTTGGTAACGTGGAGCTCGAAAAGAGGGTCCGGCAAAAGGACAAGGTCCCTCAGTGCCCGTTTACCCTTTTTTGGGGGAGGGTTCCCCTGCTAAAAGGTATCGTGTTGGTGAGGACCCTCTACACAAACCGTGTTTTCAACCTGAATGGCCAAGTTTGGGAGTTTGGGGGGGGGATGGTTGCGTTCATGTTGACCGCAAAGAAAAAGAAAGACTCCCCACCGCCACCGCCCTGGCTCGACTCTTGTCGAAGCTGCTGCCTTCGCGATTTCACCTGCTGCGCGAGCGCTGCAGTTGCCATTGAACGCTATTATAGAAATATTTCCTTCATGAACAATGGCAGTTTCTTCCACAAACCTGCACCCACTGGTTTGCGGAACCAACACATCCTGTTTCCTCGTGGGCCGAGAACATATCAAATAAATTTATCCTCTGTTCTCACCATGGCTGTACATGTGTGGCCTCAGAGCATATCCGCACATACGATCGCCGCCCCGGCCCCACTTGGTTTGCTTGCGCGCCGGCTTGGGCGAAGCCTTCAGCTTAGCTCGTGCTTTTGGTTGCTGCAATGTGACTTCCGGGTCAAACTCAAGTTCTTCGCTTTCACTCGCTTCACAAACTGTAGACACTCGATTCCACAAGACGCTCATTCATGAAGGACCCTCAAAAACCGATCGCGACAAGGGTCCTGACCAACACGACGCGTACTAAAATAGACTACGGAAAACAAGGGTACCCTTATTCTAACCTCTCCACTGGAGGAGATTCCTCTCAACAGGGTGCTTATTTGGGCGTCATGTTAATCTGTAGGGGGAGTATGTATTGCATGAGTGGATGCAACGTTTCCCTTGCGCTTGTCGCTTTGCTATTGCTATATCATCCTTTCACGCTAGGTGAGCTTGGGGTACAGACGTCAGTATTTGTATAAACGCAAGGTATCGCAAGGTGTGGAAAGGAAAAAGGAACTGGGTAGGAGGCTGCATTGAAGGTGTTCTTTCCTGAACTCGTTGTTATTTGAACACCTTATCCAGATTGTAGGCCCCCAGTGCTGGGACATGGTGGGCCGAGAGAGAAGCCTCATAGGGGAGCCGGCTGCACTGACGTGGCCCAAAAAAGAGGAAAGCTAGCAAGACAGACGAATCCATGAGTTTTGGCTATGGTCAGGCTGGCTACGCTGCCTCAATTGGGGCAGTTCCCGACTCATTTGATGAGCTGCTCGCTTGAGTCATGAGGCACCTCTCCAGAAGAGCTGCCGTGGCAAGTTCCTTGGTGGTGTCTTGGCAGGTTGGAGCGCTTTTCATCCATCGAGCAAAACTTCTTGCTGGGCTCAGCAGGCAGGAGTAACGTTGAGACAGAGGTTGAGACAGGGGACGGCTAACCAGACCATATATGATCTCAGGCAGGCCGTATTGCGCATATCAGTTGACCTGCTCGAGTCTCAAGCTGTTTGGTGAATCCTTGCTCGTGTGTGGCAGTTTGCGCCTGGGATTTTCTGGTCCACTCAATTCCCCCGTTTGCCCATAGCCGCCATAGCCTGTTCCCCAATCCAGCCCCGTCCAGCCTTCTCTTGCCGAGGCTCTGCCGGTCGCCTGCTTAGATGTGACCGGACTCATGAGCTGCACTTTCCCGGCTTAGAACACCAGGATACTTGCACTTTTTCCCCAAAAAAAGCACTGAAGAAGGACAAGGGGCCTCTTCACGAGGATGGTAGCCTTCAGGAAGCATCCTGTCCACTTTTGTGATTGTTGGGCAGAGGGTAGTTTTCAGAAGACCAATCATCGTGATTGCAGTCACAACTATTGCACCTGTTGAAGTTTGCTCGAAGGAGGAATTCGGCGTTGCCTTCGAGCTTCGCAGAGAGGCACTCTTGGCACAGCTGCAGCGTTCGACATCTGGCAAAGTTTCATTGGGGCGTCTAGCATGTAGACAGGCTTTTTCACTGGAGTTTCGTGATGTTGCGTTTGCACCGTGAGTCAAGTTCAAATGCAGCTGGTCAGAATCAGGGTTGTGTGGCTGCGCGCTTCTTCTTTTTTTTGCGGAGACATGCCGATAGGACATGACATGCTTGACGCGCTTTCAGTTTTTTTTTGGTCTAGGTTGCGCCCCGTACGAGGGTGCACACGGCTTTCCTTGGGCAAATGTGGCAAAGGTCACGGTCATGGTAGCAGTTTTGGGCGGGCTAGCAGGAGTCATAACGATAGTGAATCCGAGGCCTTTCGCAATTGGGAAGATTCTTGGGTTATCACAATCTGAGTCACCGGCAGCCGTACATATCTTGCATCAGGCCTTGGGTGTCCCCCGCGAGAAAAACCTGGGCCACCGCCTGACTGAGGCTTCGGCATTAGTCGGGTCCACCTTGCCTGGGCCTCAGGACAGGCGTGTTTCTGTCTGTGTGTGTTGCCTTGCTTCATAGCTTCCATTTGCTTAGGATTTGTTTTCCCCTTGTTGGTTTTGAGGGGAATCTATCACTATTGGATGTTTTTATTTTTCCCGGGGGCTTAAGCAAACGGAAGATAGGCGAAATGCGGCAGTACTTGATTGGAGGGAGAGCTACATACTGTCACCCAAGCCGGAAGTCCTGATTTGGTCGAGCAACAGTCGCCTCACATCCTGCACCGATGGACCTGCCAGTTTGAAAGTGCACCAAGCCCACACCAATCTGCCCCGCTGGGGAACAGTAGTCACTTTGGAGACCTGATTGAGTCTAGCCAAACCATGCACGCCGCATAGATGTGGGCAGGTGCATCTATGTTGGGTGCGTTGGGGATGACTACATTTGTTTCCCTTTGCGATGCAAGCCTTGGTTTTGATGTTTCGCTCTTGGATGACTTGAGGTCGCCAGACATCGAAGAGGTCACACCCCAGCGGTGCTGTGCACAGCTTCGCCGTGCTACGCAGCTTGCGTGAAGCCGTTACATGAACAATATTAGTTGTATACCGGTTTGCTTGTTTGTTTGATTTTTTGGTGTGATGAGCAACATGGTGTGTTGTCATAGTGTCGTCTTCCAGCTGATCGATCACCATAATAAACCAAGAGAGCATGGCAAGCCATTCGCCCAATAATAATGCCGTAAAGCGGCTCGTCAATCAATCGATTCCATCAAGTTGAAAAGGACACTAAGTGAGCATCTAGCATTAACACCCCCCTCTACTTGAATACAAACATTTGTTTGGTATGGTTCTAAAGCATAACCAGGTTCTTTGCCGGTTGTTTGATTCCTATGTGCCTCGTTGGCCAAGTGTGAATCTGAGTCCTGCCGAGATTGCCAACGATTCCACGCAAGCAGTGCATTGATGTTCACGTCCACACTGCTCACATGTTTCCTGTACAGCCTTTTTCCCTCAATGGCCCAGGAGATACATGCCTTGGTCATCGTTGGTTGCTTTTGGAAGGGCATTGGCCGCAAGCATCTCCAGCGGTTGTTGAGCTGTTTACTTTCACCCTGAGAGATTGTGCTGTAAGATGAAATAGTTAAGTAGGTCCCCCAGTGCCCTTTTACCCTACAGAAAATAGACTACAGAAAAAGTTGGTGCCCTTATTCTAACCTCTCCACTGAAAAACCTAGTTAAAGGGCCCAGGCCATGGGGTGGGAGCCATGAGTGCGAGATCGGATCTGCTCTGCACGCCTGTCTGGGCCAAGGATGTAATTCGAAGGCAGCGTGGCTGAACTCGCAGCTTCAAGTCGCAGGAAGCTCTCCTTCTGATAGCATTGGCAGGAGTAGCATGGCTACTTTGCATTCTTTGAAGCAACCTAGCAAATCTAGAGCATGCAAGTCTTGACCCAAAGCTATTCAAGCACAACTGCACACTCATTGAGCCTGCCCTATTGCGTGAAGCCATTGACAAGCAGTGCGACCATTTCGCCCACAGCGAGTACCATCAAGATTGGGCAAGATATGCTTAAGCAGCCAGACCCAGGTCCCTTGTTGAGCCATGTTTCCACAGTATGGTGGCCTAACCATGAATACCATCGCTCTGCCTTTGCCATGGCCGTGAAGCAATGTCCTCCTTAGTCAGTGCACGGCCCTCGGTGCAAGTGAATGGGCGGCTTTCAGCTTGACTGCTACTGGGTTGGATCTTCAGACTTTAACTTTTTGGGAAGTTAAGGGTTTTCCACTAAACCCCCAAAAGCTAAACTGTTTGCAGGGGGGTCAACAGCAACCAAGTCAGCATGGCCAGGCAATCCGGTATGTATTATGGGAGCGAGCCTCGTGAACGCAAAGTCCCACGCAACTTATACATGGCTGTTGTTGGGAAGCATGTGTTTTCATGTTTGCTTATTGTGGTTTAGTGGGAAGTCCCCACTTAACTGCTTTTTTTTTGCTCCCCTTCCATCGTCATGCACTATAGGGTCCCCAATGTTCGCCAATGTGAGGATCCGGTCTCCAGTTTCATTCAGCAGCTGTGAAATGCAACTCGCCGGCCCTTGAGGCTGCAGGATTTGGTAGACCAGGTGCACGTTTGCACCTGAAAACGGTCAAATCGCTTTGAAGATCCAGAGGCCGAGCAATCGCCAATTGAGCCCTGCTGCAGCGATACAAGGGCGCTTTGAGGCAACCCTGTTTGAAGGTCAAGCAGCTTACACGCGTCAAAGTAAGGCACCCCAAAACAAATGGGTCGTGATTTGGATATGTTTTGGACGCATTCCCCGAAAAGAGGTACAACAAAGGGTCCTCATAGAAAAAAAGGGCCTGACTTCTCACATCTTTGGCATTCTTCAAGCAGCTCTTGGGGTGTCCGGGATTTTTTGCTGGGTTCTGCATACCAAGCCCCAGGAGCCTTGTAGGCGCTTTCGGCCTCATGGACGCGCCGGGCGGCCATGACGCTCACCGCTTCGTGGTGGCCAGGGGCCAGGAGCGCGCGGTGATCAAAGGCAGCTCCCTGGGGATCGGCGCCTTTCAGGTCACCGCCAAGTAACTCACTTCGACCAAAATCGACGTCTGGGTTTCCCTTGTTTTTTGTTGGGTGGCCCTTGCTTTTTTGTTGGGTTCCTTGTTTTGTTTGGTTTCCTTGCTTTTTGGGTTTCCTGGTTTTTGGGGTGTTTTCCAATGTTTTTTCCAGGTTTTCCTTTTTTTTCCCGGGGGTGAAGCGAATCGACCTGAAATGAAATGACTTTTGGATTCCCTTGTTTGGCACCCATTTTTAGCAAAGGTCCCAACCTTTTTAACCTTTGCGAATTCCATGTTGGTACCCATTTTTAGTCAAGATGACCCTTTCCCTTGTTTGGTGCCCTATTTTTAGTCCAGGTCCCAAAAGGTGATCATCTTGTATTTCTAGGTCCCCAAGTGAGGCAAGCGGGCAGCTTGGAGGCAGCGCTGCGCCTTTGCCGGCTGTGCTACCTGGAGTTTGAGAAGGGCAAGTCCAAAGAGGAGGCGAGAAAAACCACAAGGGGCAGGGGACTAGTAAGTGGTGAGTAACCATGATTATACAACCCACAGAAGCCATGGTTATGAGTCTCCTAAGTGGGTTATACCCATGGTTACTAACCACTTACTAAGTCCCCGATCGCCCCTTTAAGTACTCAAAACCGATTCGGGTAGAAGGTCAGTGAGGGAGAATTCCAACCTATGGGCGGGGATATCCGCCTTTTTTGTTTCTGTGTGCATGCGCCATTTAATGGGTCCACCATTTCAAAAAGCCAGGTTTTGATTATGACCCGGGGGTGTGAATGATTTTCAGGGTCGTTCCAGGCCAGAGGCACCTGCAAACTGTGCTTGGGGGTGGCTTTTTTTCCTCTGCGACCACAGAGAAGGTTAGTTGCATCTCAGACCCAGGTGGAGGACTACAAACGGCAGCTGCTGGGCCTCGCAAAGGCCAAGCCCAGGGCGACGAAGGTCCGGGTGAAGCGGCCAGCGCCAGCTGCGGTCCCAGCGGCTCCAGCTGCGGTCCCGGCTGCGCCAGCCGACCCAAGGAAGAGGCGCAGAGTGAGGCCCGCTGAGCCAGCTGTGCATCCGGAGATCAAGGAGAAGGTGGCTAGGTGCCAACTTTTACCGTTCCTTTTTCGGGTGGGAGGGTTCCCCTACTTAAAATAGACTGCAGAAAAATGTTGGTACCCTTATTCGAACCTCTGCACTGGAGGATCTAGAGATTGAGATCAAAGAGGAGGAGATCGAGCCAGTGAGACCTGGATTCCAAAGACCCGCTCGAGGGCCAGAGTTCTGCTTAGCAGCTGTGGTGAAGGACCTATGTGCCGTCTCGCGCTTGTTCAACCAGCAAAATCCTTGCATTCATTGTTTGACTGTCCAGGCTGATTTTGAAGCTGAGTCCAAAGCTCCATGTTCAAAGTCTTAATTAGCCTCCATTTGTTTTTTTCGCCCCCAGAGAAAGATGAGAACATATTTCCAGTGAAATCGATTCCCTTCAAAGAACCAACAGAGGAAAAGCAAGGAATATCATATTCCCCCAGCTTTTTAGATCCTTTCAGTTGGTTTTACTTCGTCCCTTTGTCGCAACGGGCTTCGATCCGACCGCAGACGGCCCACCAGGACTTCGATCCCTGTGCCTTGGAAGATGGAAAGACGGATCGGATCGACACGAACCTTGGCCCCCAATCTCCTTAGCCTTTTTGCGTTTTAGTGTGTGATTGGTAGTTTCGGAAATTAACCCACTGAAAGTTAGTCACTTTGAGCGGGGGATCAGAAAACGGGCAGCCCAGGAACTACAAGTCTCGGATCGGCTTGCCGGCGGACAGCCCAATCCGACCGGAGCTTCGCGAAGACTATGAGTTCCTTGGTCCGAAGCGAAAATCGACCTTTGGACCTTTCGGTTCTGGGGTGTTGGTACCCTTTTCTGGTCATGGCCCCAAAAGGTGCTACCTTTTTTCCAGGGGGCAACTGGTTTTCCCATATTGGTACCCAGTTTGTCGTCATGGCCCCAACGGGTGCCACCTTTTCTTCCAGGTCTCTAAGGGGCAACTGGTTTTCCCATATTGGTACCCAGTTTGTCGTCATGGCCCCAACGGGTGCCACTTTTTCTTCCAGGTCTCTAAGGGGCAACTGGTTTTCCCATATTGGTACCCAGTTTGTCGTCATGGCCCCAACGGGTGCCACCTTTTCTTCCAGGTCTCTAAGGGGCAACTGGTTTTCCCATATTGGTACCCAGTTTGTCGTCATGGCCCCAACGGGTGCCACCTTTTCTTCCAGGTCTCTAAGGGGCAACTGGTTTTCCCATATTCGTACCCAGTTTGTAGTCATAGCCAACGGGTGCCACCTTTTCTTCCAGGTCCCTAAGGGGCAACTGGTTTTCCCATATTGGTGCCCAGTTTTTGTCATGGCCCCAACAGGTGCCACCTTTTTGCCAGGTCGCCACCTTTTCTTCCAGGTCTCTAAGGGGCAACTGGTTTTCCCATATTGGTACCCAGTTTTCGTCATGGCCCCAACGGGTGCCACCTTTTCTTTCAGGTCCCTAAGGGGCAACTGGTTTTCCCATATTGGTGCCCAGTTTTCGTCATGGCCCCAACGGGTGCCACCTTTTCTTCCAGGTCCCTAAGGGTCAACTGGTTTTCCCATATTGGTGCCCAGTTTTCGTCATGGCCCCAACGGGTGCCACCTTTTCTTCCAGGTCCCTAAGGGGCAACTGGTTTTCCCATATTGGTGCCCAGTTTGTCGTCATGGCCCCAACAGGTGCCACCTTTTCTTCCAGGTCTCTAAGGACAACTGGTTTTCCCATATTCGTACCCAGTTTGTCGTCATGGCCCCAACGGGTGCCACCTTTTCTTCCAGGTCTCTAAGGGGCAACTGGTTTTCCCATATTGGTGCCCAGTTTTCGTCATGGCCCCAACAGGTGCCACCTTTTTGCCAGGTCGCCACCTTTTCTTCCAGGTCTCTAAGGGGCAACTGGTTTTCCCATATTGGTACCCAGTTTGTCGTCATGGCCCCAACGGGTGCCACCTTTTCTTCCAGGTCCCTAAGGGGCAACTGGTTTTCCCATATTGGTGCCCAGTTTTCGTCATGGCCCCAACGGGTGCCACCTTTTCTTCCAGGTCCCTAAGGGGCAACTGGTTTTCCCATATTGGTGCCCAGTTTTCGTCATGGCCCCAACGGGTGCCACCTTTTCTTCCAGGGGCAACTGGTTTTCCCATATTGGTGCCCAGTTTTCGTCATGGCCCCAACCACCTTTTCTTCCAGGTCCCTAAGGGGCAACTGGTTTTCCCATATTGGTGCCCAGTTTTCGTCATGGCCCCAACGGGTGCCACCTTTTCTTCCAGGTCCCTAAGGGGCAACTTGTTTTCCCATATTGGTGCCCAGTTTTCGTCATGGCCCCAACGGGTGCCACCTTTTCTTCCAGGTCCCCAAGGGGCAACTGGTTTTCCCATATTGGTGCCCAGTTTGTCGTCATGGCCCCAACGGGTGCCACCTTTTCTTCCAGGTCTCTAAGGGGCAACTGGTTTTCCCATATTGGTGCCCAGTTTTCGTCATGGCCCCAACGAGTGCCACCTTTTTGCCAGGTACCCAAGTGGCAACGGGTTTTCCCATATTCGTACCCAGTTTGTAGTCATGGCCCCAACGGGTGCCACCTTTTTTTTTCAGGTCCCTAAGGGGCAACTGGTTTTCCCATATTGGTGCCTAGTTTTCGTCATGGCCCCAACAGGTGCCACCTTTTTGCCAGGTCGCCACCTTTTCTTCCAGGTCCCTAAGGGGCAACTCGTCATGGCCCCAACAGGTGCCACCTTTTTGCCAGGTCCCCAAGGGGCAACGGGTTTTCCCCTATTCGTACCCAGTTTGCCGTCATGGCCCCAACGCGTGCCACCTTTTCTTCCAGGTCCCTAAGGGGCAACTGGTTTTCCCATATTGGTGCCCAGTTTTCGTCATGGCCCCAACAGGTGCCACCTTTTTGCCAGGTTCCCAAGGGGCAACGGGTTTTCCCATATTCGTACCCAGTTTGTCGTCATGGCCCCAACGGGTGCCACCTTTTCTTCCAGGTCCCTAAGGGGCAACTGGTTTTCCCATATTCGTGCCACCTTTTTGCCAGGTCCCCAAGGGGCAACGGGTTTTCCCCTATTCGTACCCAGTTTGCCGT